GCCGGTCCGGGTAGCCGCCGGCGCGCGAGCCCTCGCCCGGGCCGCAGCCGGGGCCGTAGTCGGAGCCGGCGCGGCCGTAGCCGGCGCCGCCGTATTCGGGCGGCGGCGGGTACGGCTCGTAGTCCCGGTAGCCGCCGTGCGCCGAGTACGGGTCGTAGTTCCGCCGGGAGCCTGCCGGCGGGTCAGAGGGGTCAGGTGGGGTGGGGTACCGCGACACTGGCGGCAGCACCGCGCCGGTAGAGAGCTTACCCAGTGACAAACAGGCCAGCTGACCCCGTCCAGGCTACAGCGGATCGGATAGCTCTACATACACTCTATTTTATAGATAAAACACAGGCTAAATAAAAATGTATGGAAGCAACAACTACCAAATAATATTAAAACAAGGCACTATATGCACCGCTCATTTTAAGAGTTAGCGTTGGAGCTATCTAATTGAAACAAACGGTGCCGTGTTGCACGTGGTTACACATATGCCTCTAACATTATGATGTGGTAGTGATGTCAATTGCAGAAAAACGGAATACCGATACCAAACCAAATACCAACCAAAGCCATTGGAAAATACCGAAACCGAACCAACTTTGGAATTATGAAGAAAATACCAACTTTTTACCAAATTCCCAACCTGTTATACATTGTTTAGAGTTCCGAATACCAATAAAATACCAAAAACATTGGGATTGAAATACCAAAAACATTGGGATTGAAATACCAAATACCAAGTTGGTATCGGTTTGGTATCGGTATACCAAAAAGTTGGTATCCGATTGACATCTCTATGATGTGGCAGATCACGGTGCAGCTCAGTATCAGCTGAGTCGCGGTCCGACCGACCGGTGTGAATGTCGGGGATGTCGGGCGCCGCCCCACCCCGCCGGAGCCGGACGGGCCGGTACACTGATGGACCGCCGGCTACGGACGCACGCCATAGGTCAGCCGGCACACGGGCCATCAGCGCCGCACCTAGCCAGGGGACCGGCACGGCGCCGCACCTAGCCAGGGGGACCGGCACGGCGCCGCACCTAGCCAGGGGGACCGGCACGGCGCCGCACCTAGCCAGGGGGACCGGCACGGCGCCGCACCTAGCCAGGGGGACCGGCACGGCGCCGCTGGCCGTACCTAGCCAGGGGGACCGGCACGGCACCGCACCTAGCCAGGGGGACCGGCACGGCACCGCACCTAGCCAGGGGGACCGGCACGGCGCCGCACCTAGCCAGGGGGACCGGCACGGCGCCGCTGCCGGCCGCCGCCACCGCGTCCGTGTACCTCAGGCCGCGGTGTCTGAACAGTGTATCCCCTGCCGTCGCCCCGGCCGTCGGCACCTGAGCAGTGCGTCCCGTCCCGTCGGCCCGGCCGTCGGCACCTGAGCCGACCGCGGCAGCCCGCGGCGGTCCGACCGCTGGCCGTGCCTGTGAGTTGCAGTGTCTGCCCGCCTGCGTCTGCCCGACGCGCTGAGGAACGACGCCCGGCGGGGAGAGATGGGCCGCCCGGCGCCCGGCCCAGCTGCGCAGGCGGCAGCTAACGGAGGTCAATGCCAGCGCGTGCTCGGTTCCTGTCGTTGTCGAGGGAGCGTTAACCCGCGCCCCGTAGGGCTACCGGCGGACCCTACCACCCGTAGGGGGGGGGGCGTTTCGGCCCCCCCCCCCTAAGATCTCGGAAAGTTACCGGCCGATTTTCAAAATTTAAACGGCGTTCGATAGCCCCACCCGGGAACTACCTTGTGACCAAATTTCATTGACCTAGGTCAAACCGATGACGTCACAGGTCAGGTCAAAGGTCAGATTTTCACCGTTCACAGGCAATTCAAGAAATGTGCTGTGAAAGCGAGTAAATTGGTAATTTATTGAAAACCATCGATGGTACATTGTTCGTCAAACACATACTTTGCTATCTGAGGTCACTGATACCAGGTCAGGTCACAGCGAGGTCAGGTCACCGGGGGTCACAATATGAATGTGTCGTGTGATACATGTTTTATGGTCCATTTTACATGACAAATGCGATTATGTGGGTTAGGCAGCCTTTGGGGCCAGCCTAGGTCACATTTTTGTGAAGGTCAGGTCAAGGTCAGGTCAAATTAGGTCACATTTCAAAGTTGATATTTTTGCATAAAATGGGTATCGGTTCGATGCAGCTCGTCACGGGGAGTCTAATGGTGGTCTTCGTTTTGCTCTACGAGTTCTAGAATTGCCAAAAATTGAGTTTGAAAATTTGACGTCATCATTTTTGAACAGTTTTTTCGCTATAACTTGGCCAAAAAACGAGGTATCGATCTGAAATTTGGTATGTAGATAGAAGACGGTAGGCACTATCACACATATTCCGGTTTTTTCGAAACTCAAAAAACTTTTTGGATTTTTTTGCGAATATATAAAAAAAATGCTTTTTTGATTTTTGGGGGTTAAAACTCAAAAATTTCAAAAATTCGAGATAGCAGTTTTGTAGCCCTGTCAATTCTACACCTTTTATGTCTTGATCATTTTTCTGTATCTTCAAAGCTGTAGTCCTGACAGGTCTTCTCGCGAAGGTCTTTTTTCGGTCGAAAATGACAGAACATGACGTCACTCTGACGTCATTTGTGGCCAACCTATCATAGCCTCTGGAAAAATTTTTGGTCACAATGTGTAAAATTGATGCCCGGAGGGGTCCTGAATGTTTGGTGGCGATATCTCCAGCCGTTTAGGAGATATCGACCGAAAAGGACAGGAGGGGCCGTTTCGGCCCCCCCCCCCCTACGGGGCGCGGGTTAAGCTCTGTCAACGTCATTGCAGCTACACTTGGCTAAGCATCAAGCACCATGAAAAGCGTTTTGAAAACTAACAAAACTTTTCAGGGTTGTCTTGTAGTCACTGCGACCATGGTTATATGTAATACCGAGGCAGATATGCAGAATTATGTTTATAACTATCAAACCAATAGCAAATCTATGTGGCCGTCCACTCTGGCCACCCTGTCGCAGCCGTCACCGCCATCCTGCTCTTCCTCTACAGCTGTCCAGAGCGGACAGCAGAGCGCCGGGTCAGCCGGGTCGGGCCGGGGGCGGGGGCGGACTGCGGGTCAATCGCGCCGGGCCGGGACGGACGGCGAGTCAGCCGCGCCGGGCCGGGCGACGGACGCACATTGATCTGAGCGGGGTGCGTGCCGCCGCCACCCGCCTCATATCGCCGCCGCCGCCGACACCGGGATTACCGGTCCGGGCGGCCGCTGAGGGAGGAACCGCCGCCGCCGCGCCGTCTGCCAGCCTGCCCCTGCAGTGTCTCAGCTACCGCCGTCACCCCCACAGCGGACGGTAGGACCGGCTCGGAGACACCGCCCGTGGGATGAAGGGGGAGCGCGGCGGCCGACCCGACTACACCCCACACTCGAGTCAGTTCGTTCGCCCTGGTCTGTGATCGGCCCCGACACTGGTCTGGCCCCGGGCGGTGGCCTCAGAGCGAGCCGCGTCAGCCACCGGACAGCCGCTCGGCTCTGTAGAGGAGGGGGCCGCTCTATCCAGGGTGAACCCCGGTACGGAGCAGCCATCGGAGGCGGCTGATGAAGCCATCGGCCTTCGGCGGCAGTCAGCGGGCGTAGCTCCATCTCTGCCGAGACGGCCCACACCGCGCCATATCAGCGACCACATCAGCGACCAATCCGTCACAGCAGCCACATCAGCGGTGACATCAGCCCCATCAACGGCCCCATCAACGGGGAAGCAGTCACGACAGTCACATCAGCGGCTTCCGGCCGCCACCAGTTATGGCCGTCAGTGGCTGATAGTGACCGGCATCAGTGACCGTCAGTGGCTATCAGGAGGCTGCTGACCGCCGTCATTATTCACCATCAGTCGAGACATCGCCACTTTCAGTGACCGCGAGACCCGACCGACCGGCTTGTCAGCGGATGAAACTCCAGCGGACGCACGAGTCCGTCTCAGATATGTGCCACGCAGAGGAAGCAGCTGTCCACAGAGTGGGGCGGGCGTGATCGGCGCCGGTGTGTCTCTGTGGGGCGTCCGCGAGTGAACGATCATCCCAACGCCAAGGTATAACATTCCTTTCCCCATGACACCTGCAATACCAGGTTACCAGTGACCAGCCACTCGCAAAACGTCACCTCGGACCCAGCATACCATTCGACTGTGCGGTGTTCAGTGTGGACATCTAGCCGCCGACTGGCAGCCCCGTGAGCGGCCAGTGCGGTGCGTGAGTCGGCGCGGTCACCCCTTCCCGGCCGCCCCCACCGCCGCCGCCGCCCCCGCCCGGCGGCCGCAGCTGGCCGGCCGGCCGCCCGCCGGCGGCGCCATTGATTAATTGATTGATGGCCGGCGAATCGGACGCGTCGCTGACTCGGTTAGCATCGTCCGTCACAGCCGGTCCGAGCCGCCGCCGCCGCCACCGCCGGGGGGGGGGGGGTGTACCGGAGGGGGGGCAGACGCCAGTCAGGTGCGGGAGAGCGCTGAGGCAGGTGGAGCCGCCAGTGACGCCTGACGGTGGGTGGTTCCGTGTCGCCAGAGGTTGGAGCTGCATCGCCTACTATCCGAGCGACGGGAGCAGGGTCGCGTGCCATCCGCGGTCAGCTGGACCGAGCAATGAGCCGAACTCGCCGCCTGATTCCTAGCAGCTGAGATAGGCCCATCAAAGCTCAGCTCATATAATCCTGTCCCAAAACATCCCCTGGCCACCAGCATCTCCCCTGCCGCCCCCCAGACCCGCCTCCCGGGCAGGGCCGGCCGACAGCACCTGCGTCCCGCCGCCTCCGCCCGGCCGGCGGCCCCGTGCCCGGTGAGCGCAGCTGGGCCGGCCGGCGACAATCTACTGCCGCCGGTCGGCTCCGGGCCGCCGCCGACACCGCTCCCCGGAGACCGGCCGAGACGCGGCCGGAGAGGGACGGCCGACGAGCATCGACCCCGCGCCGGCCGCCGGTCACCGGGTCAGGCGGCCCGCACCGGCGGAACCGGCCGCGGAACAGGGGCCAGTCGACGGCAATGTCGCCGGAACGGTCCCACGGCGGAGCAGGTAAAGGCGAGGAGCGAAACCAGACGGTATGAGACAGTTAAAGGTGGGGAGGAGCGAGACCAGACAGCAGGGTTGTGCTCGACTCAAAAAAAATTGCCGACTCGACTCATCATTCAACTTCAGAAAGCCCTGACTCAACTCTGACTCAAACAAGGAGCTGATTTTTTCCCTTGACTCGACTCATGACTCAAGCGGCTCAATGAAAATATGAGTTGACTCAAACTTGACTCAAATTTTTTTGTTGAGTCAAGTGTGTTGACTCAAAATTGACTCAGATAAAAAAAAGTTGTTGAGCGGGGGGGGGGATGAAAAAAAAATCCGGCAGCAGGGCCAGGCCTAAGTTGTTAAGCGGGGGGAGAATGAAAAGCTTATATATTGTTTCTAGAAAGATGAGTCAGCTGACTCATGTTCCTAAATGTTTTTGACTCAACTCAATGTCAAAAGTTATTTTACTGACTCAACTCTGACTCAACTCAACATCTCAACATTTTATCCGACTCGACTCAAACCTGACTCATCTGAGTCAGAGTTGAGTCAAATCTCTGACTCGACTCATGAGTCAAGCACAACCCTGCCAGACAGTATGAGACAGGTAGAGGCATGGGAGCGAGTCAGACGGACCGGCGGAGACGGGTAGAAGGGGAGACGAGCCAGACGGTCTGACGGGGGCAGGTAGAGGAGGGACAAACGGTCCGAAGGAGACGGGAAGGGGGCACGATCTGACAGAGGCTGGCAGATGGGGGGGGGGTTGCAGGCCAAGCGGGAAATGGCAGTGTCCCCGACGCGACACGTCGGCACTGGGGCCGGGACGGCGGACCGAGACGCCGGGCTAATGAGGATGCCACACCACCAGATGGATGGGACAGCAACGTGGTGCAAGAAAACGGAACGGAAAGGAGAGCGAGCGAGTGAGTGAGTGAGTGAGTGAGTGAGTGAGTGAGTGAGTGAGTGAGTGAGTGAGTGAGTGGAGAATAGGAGGAGAGGATGGTTCGATTCCTCAGCAGAGCTCGGTCGGAGACGCGCTAAGTCAAGAAGTCATCAGTGGATCGCCCCACAGCTAATCGTCTCCGCAGATCGCTTCAGTGGATCTAAGTGTTCCAGTAGATCGTCTGTATTAGGCAGGTCTCAGCCGGGACGTGCCGGGTACCCGGTCCTCAGCGGATCGTCTCGGCGCTCCGGCTGAACGCGCCCCAGATTGATGGAACAGAACTAATCCGCTCCGGACGGGTGATACCGACTGTCTGTCCGGCAGCGCGGCGGAACAATCAATAACAGAGTCCAGTAAATGACGCAACAACACTGAGCGCTGGCATGGAAGGATAAAAGTGATCTAATTAATGCCATATAGCGCTGTAGAGGAGCGGTGCGTTCGCAGCAGCCGGTGCGAGTTGCAGTGCGCCACCGCTGACCCCCGCCCAGTCGTGTCGCCACGGCCAGGCGCGGGCCCGCCCGGTTTGAGCTCGGTCAGTGGGCCCGCTAGGCAGGCCCGACTGTCTGGTGTGCGGATCGATCGGTCCCGCTCCGACAAATGTGCCCCGACTCCGCCTTCTCTCGGCCGAGACTCTCCTCCTCCCGGCCGGCAGCCGCTGGGCCGGCCGACACTCTCCTTCTCCCGGCCCTTCCTCTCCTCCCGGCTGCAGCCGCCGGCCCGGCCGTGGGGACCGCCGCTCACCGGACCCCCGAGTCGCGGCGATGCCGACCCGCAGCCCACGGTCCGGGCGCGGTGGCCGCCCACCGCTGCCTGCAGGCTCTCGCGAGATTAAGCGGTAGGTTTTGCACTTTTACATTTCCGGTTATATATCTCAGAAACTAATCGATCTACGATGAAGCCATTTTACACGATCATGGCCGGCTTGTGAACCAACAAGTCGATCGCATCTTCAACACTCAAAGCTTGAGACGACGAAGATATAGCCTGAAGTACACTAAATTTTCTGGGTGCAAAACCTACCGCTAAAACCCACGAGACCTGTACGTCTGTGACTGACACCGGTCCGTCACCCGTCTGTGCAGACAGGGCCGGCGGGGACGGTGGTGAGGAACCCCGGGGGCCGGGCGTCACCGGCAGGAAATACCCTGCCACCGGTGCCAGGCCCCTGTGACCCACAGGTGTCCAGCCGGGTGATAGCGCGGCGCGCCGACACGCGACATTGCTGTCCGATGACCACCGCCAGACGGGCCGGCCAGTCACGCTGGAACGCTCGGTCGTCACGGTTTAACAGGTGTGTCGGGTGGTTGGCAGTGCGGACCGCCGTGGTCTCGGGAGTCCGGCATTCAGCTAAAGGCTGCTCTGACAATCGGTTTTGCACAGCCACCCCGTCAACAATCCTATTTCGCCGACCAAACAGGAAATGGGATGACAGTCCGTACTACATGTCAATCCGGTTGCACCAAACACCCATCCCGGTGGCGCGCATGTGTGCGACAGACCCCTGTTCAGCTCGCGTCACGTCTGATTCCAATCTGACACGGTCCGTGTATGTACATACGCGGCGCCACCGGCTGTCCTGCCCCGTCCACTCACCCTGCTCGCTGCCGGGGCTGGCCGGCCGGTACGGGTCCATGGTGTACGGACTGTACGGGTGCTGTGGGGACTGTACGGGCCGTCCACTCACCCTGCTCGCTGCCGGGGCTGGCCGGCCGGTACGGGTCCATGGTGTACGGACTGTGCGGGTGTTAGGGGACTGTACGGGCTGTACGGGCCGTTTACTCACCCTGCTCGCTGCCGGGGCTGGCCGGCCGGTACGGGTCCATGGTGCACGGACTGTACGGGTGTTAGGGGGCACTGTACGGGTGCTGAGGGGACTGTACGGGTGCTGTGGGAACTGTACGGGCCGTCCACTCACCCTGCTCGCTGCCGGGGCTGGCCGGCCGGTACGGGTCCATGGTGTAAGGACTGTGCGGGTGCTGAGGCGGCCCACCGGCCGAGTAGGCGCTGAAGTCGCCCGCCTGGCCCGGCTCCAGAAGCTGGCCGTCGGGACCTATGTGGTGCAGCTCCCGGTAGACCTTGGTCACCGTCGTTACCTGGCCGGCGGCGGATCAGGTCAGCTCAGGTCAGGTCAGGCCAGGTCACAGATCGCGCAGCTCAGTACACCCCAGCGGCGGTCAAGCCCAAACCTCGGAACAGACAACGGTGGTACACTTTTGGCAAACTGTCCTGGACACCATCTGCCTTTCTGCGCCGCACGCTTTACACACGAGTCATTTTACACAAAACCAAACAGCACACTGCACCACACTAACACCAGCCGACCAGAGCACAGAAACACACCAACACCGTCCAACCACGTCACACAAACACACCAACACCGTCGGATCATAGCACACATATGTAGTTACAAACGCACCAGACGGTCGGATATGCGGACCTCTCGGCAGCGGGGTATGTCTCCAGCGAGTGGGCTCAGGCCCCATAGTACCATCCCAGAGCTCGGACAAGCCATCAGCGCGTCTTCTCAGAGGATAGGGCGGCGGCGCCGCATCAGCTGCGCAAACACCGCCTCTCGCCCCCCCAGCCAGCCCCGCCCCTGCTGCCAGTCCCGCCTCCGTTTGTCAGCCCCGCCATGGCTCGTCGGGCCGCCATACGACCGTGAGTCCGTCAACTGATCTCTGGCTGTCGGTGAGTGGAGTGGAGCACGTCGTAATGGTTCGGCCGGTGGTCGTCAGCCGACGCTCTAGGCTCTGCCAGCGGTCACCGTTCAACAATCGCTGCACGCCACTATATACCGCGCCGTGACGGCGGCACACGACCCGCTGAGCCGGGCTGATCCCGCGTGATCCGGCTGATCCCGCGTGATCCGGCTGATCTCGTGATCGGTAGGTGAGCCGGCACCGATCGTCAGCGGACGGCCGGCCGATCAGACCAGCGATCCAATCCCGGCGATCGGCGGCCGGGGGAGGGGGGGGGGGCGTCATTATCGCACGTGACCTGAACACCGACACCGGCCCGCGGTTCGTACTCTCAGTGAGCTGCACGGGGTGGTCAGAGGTACCGGACCGGTGCTCACTGCTCAGACCACAGGTTCAGATCAGAACGAGCAGGTGATACTTACCAACAACTAAGCATCATCGACACCGACAGACACAAACCCAGAGATTGAACTTTGAACATATGCTGAGGTGCCACCCAATGCTCACCGACCCGACGCTCTCCCCACTTCACTTATGCCCCCTTCCGCCGCGGCCAGCATCGATACCCGCTGACAGATGTAGACCGAGCGGAACTCTATGGAAAGAAGCCGCCCACAAAAGACGGGGCTCAAAGGTACCCTGAATGGCGTAATTAGGCAGTGGCGATAACAATGTAGTTTGTTCAGGCACCGAGACAACTAATTAGCGCGCTGTCAGTTGTCACGCACGGGGCCCAAACAAAACGTACAAACTTGCTGGAGCTGCTCGAATATAGTCCGCCCCGGGTAGGGATGCTCCCAGCCCCAGATGCAGCCGTGTTAAATGCATTCACGAACTAGCGTCAGAGGTTTGTAAGCTGCAACCGATCGTGCGCCATAATTACCCCGGGGCACCTCCATCAGGTGACTGGAGTCAGCAGCCGCCGGACCCAGGGCGCCTCCTAGCAGCTGACTGCAGTCAGCAGCCGCCGGGCAGGAGCGCCTCCCACCAGCTGACTAGTCAGCAGCTACTGGGCGCGGGGCACCTCCTAACCTGCCAGCCGACCCTCATTGCCGCCCTGTCGGGCAAGAGACCCGTAGAAGCCGCGCTGTCGGGCGGCCCCCAGCTGACCAGCGATGCCGCGTTGTCGGGCGGTCGGCGATCGCCTCATCACACCCACAACGGACGTGCTTTATCATCGTCCAACCAGAAATAGCCTAATGACCGAAGTTGGGCGGCGGCTCCGAAATGAGCGCAGCCATCCGACGTCCTCAGCGGCGCCGGGACAAACACAAACATCTTCCACCAGCCCCGCATACCGCCACAGGAGCGGAGCGGTCCTGACGCCCCCACCGACACTCGGTACACCCCACACCCCACAGGAGGAGGACGGCTCCGGCTGCCGTGAAAGGCATTCCGTCCCCGCTGGTGGCCATCTATCCGACGCGCGCCGCGGCCGAGCCGCCGGCGCCGCCCCGCCGCCACTGGGTCGGTGGCGGCGTCCGACAGCGACCGTCGGCACCGACAGCGACCGTCGGTACCGACAGCGACCGTCGGCACCGACAGCGGCGACAGGAGCGGCCGACGGCCGGCGTGTGTTGTCGATAGGCCGCGGCGGCACCAAATAATGGCGCGCCCCGCCGTGACGAGCATATAAAGCGAGCCAAATGCCAGCATGATAGACCAGCATCGTTAATTCGCGCCGGCCGGCCGGACGGGCGGGTGAGCGGCGGACCGGCCGGGCGGGCGACAGAGTTCCTCTCACGGCCCGGCGGCCGCGGCTGCACAGAGCAGCGCCGTACGACACACGTCACCCGCACCCGGCGCGGACAGGTGTGCGTACATGTGTGTGCGTGAGGGGGACTTCGGCACCACTCGCACAGGTGGTGAGAGGCGCCGGGAGCACACGTGCTCCCCCGGGGCGCCGGCCGTGCCGACGTGCGCCGCTTCCCACCCGCGTCACGCGCCGGTCCTCGCCGCCACTCTCCAGCGGACGTGACCGAGAGCAGGCCACGCACCCGGCGCCGGCGGCCGGGACAAACTGCCGCGACCGCGAAACCAACTGGACAGTCCCGTGAACCCAAAACAGCAGACGTCATTTCCAAACCAGCACTGCCTGAGTAATAACTACAAAACGCAGTCCCGCCAAGCAAGATAATTAGCTACTGGAGTTAAAACTTAACCGCCTCGGTCTCGAAACAACTACCTACAGAAAAGGCCTAGCCTAGCAGCCTATGAATCTGAAAACTCTCGAAGTCCTCGATAGCCCTTATAACTCCAGGACCACAGGTGAATAATATGGCTCCTGGAAAGCCTCTCGGGTCGGTAATGCTGGCCCTGAGGTCACAAATGTCGGTCTCTGACCGGTTTCCATCAGGTCGTCTCTGTGGGCCGCTGACCGGCGCCCCTCAGTCGGTACCGTGAACCACTGACAATGACCCGTGCACCTCAGTCGGTACTGTGGACCGCTGACCGGTGCCCCTCAGTTCCACCGGGCGCCGTGCAACTGAGGGCCGCCGCGCCGGCCGTACAGTGCTGTGTGTCCGCCGGCCTCTGTTTAGTCTGGCGGCCGTGCCGTACCGGCCGCGCCGCTCTAACCGGACCGTGCCGTGCTGGCCGGCCGGCGCCGCATTCCATGCCGTCAGCGGCGCGTCAGCGGTCCGGTGTTCGGTGTCGGCCGACACTGACACTGACACGTGCAGCGAGCGGGGGTCGGGCGGCCGACACAGCGGGCACGTGAGATCCGCCGCGCGCCGCTGAGCTCTGCACGGACAGACCGCGGTCATAGAACACCACAGTGGCGAGCAGGATCAGTACAGCGCAGCAGCCACGGGGCTGGTCAACAGTGCACAGTCGTCTGGAATGATGATACGGGGAGACGGTAAAATCCCGCAGCACCCGCGCACCATATCACGGCGTCACCCAGCCAAAGTCCCCAGGGGTTCTCAGTTCTCTCTCCGGCGCCTGCACAACACACAGTGTCACTCATTCACAGGGTTCACACACAGACACCACAGACACACAGACACACACCCGAGCAGCTACCATCGAGGGAGACTGGCTGGGTGCGTAGCATATACGTGTGACGGGGTAGCACAGCCATGCGGCAAAACGGTGCAGGGTGAAAGGCAAAAGAATACAGACAACAGGCGGGCCACTGACGGCGAGGCTAACAAATGACGAGCCAAACATCCTTAAAAACTTTGATACAATAACATATTCAATAAAATAAACAATAAATTAGTAATACTCACTTGACATACCTTACTTACCGTAGACCTATAGTTTGGTCTTGCACCATAGCCAGGTTGCCAAGTCTGCTATCATTAAAATAATGTGCCGACCGGTGTTATGATCAGATGACCAGACACTCGATACCTCCCACCCCCGTCCTGTATCCCACTGCATTGTTCGTGTCTGAACACATTTTAGTGCCGTCTGAACCGCCCCTGTTATCGGGAACCCTGCTCCGAGTACTAACTACTGTCTGTGCTCACCTTCAGCCCCGCCCGACCCATCCCGTCCTGTTCCGCTGGTCCCCACTGGCCGTCCCATTATCTGTGTGGTGTATAGTTCATCCCCCACTGCCTGCTGTGGCTATTGTCCCCCCATATCTGCTGTGTCTGTACAGTGTATAGTCCCCCCCCCTACTACCTGCTGCGTGGTGCTCTGTATACTGTATACGTGTATAGTCCCGCCCCTACTACCTGTTGCGTGGTGCTCTGTTTCTGGGTGCGACTGATGAGCTGCTGCTGCGGCTGCGGCTGACTGCTGCCGCCGTTGGTCTGCGGCCCGGCCGGCGGCGGCGACTGCTGTCGCTCGTACTGGGTGTGGTACTGCAGGTCGGCGCTGAAGTGCAGCGTCTCGCCGTCGCCGCCCGACAGCTCCGGCCTGCGGCGGTCGGCGGCCGGCGTGGCCCGGTCAGTCAGCGCGCGCGGGGCACACCCCGGGTCAGCCAGCCAGCGGCCCGGTCAGTCAGCGCGCGCGGGGCATACCCCGGGTCAGTCAGCGGGCACAGGGTACACCGCCGGTCAGTCAGCCGCCGGCAGGGCAGGGGTGCGCCGAGGTCATACAAACCGTAGAAAGACGTCGAGGATTTGCCTAGACGTCATCCCAGTTACGGAACTTTGATCTGGGCCTCGTTTCATAAAACTCTGCCGTAACTTACACCTTTCCGTAATTCACACCCTTTCAAACTACGGAGCGCAAATGAAGCGGTTTCACAAAGCCACAACTGGAATTGTTTACACCTCCGTAACTAAGCACATTTGCGTAGTTGCCGTAATTTATCAAGCGTCCTACAAATTACAATTTCGTGTCAACACTTATTTTTTACGAGAAATTATAAAACAATTATGTTGAATTTTAATCTTAAAAATTATTTATGAAAAAACAAAATTGAAATTTATGACCATCCTTTATTAAATCAATATATTGAAAACAGCAGAAAGCCAGCTAAGCAGAAGTGCCTTACTACGAAAGTGGCGCGGCACGGCGAATAAACAAAATTCCGATAGCTGCCACAAAAAGCGACTGGTACAGAAGATTTGCAGTTTCTTTTTCTAATTTTGGCTGTTCTTTCTTCCTCACCGGGCTCAACATTATAAAATATATTAAAAATTAGCTTCGAATCTTCACAATAATTCAAATTCACGCAACATTTTTGGGCGTAGTTTACACCACTGATATCAAGAACTTGATAAAATATTTGGCGTTAATTACGTCGTTTTATGAAACCCAAATGGCATCAATTGGTCCCGAATCGAGCATTTGCCGTAAACGATGCTCCGTAATTTCGATGGCGTGAATTACTCCGGTCTTCGGCTTTGTGAAACCGAATTGGCATCAAATACGCCAAATCTGGCATAATTGACGGAACGCCGTAAGTAATTCCTTTTATGAAACGAGGCCTTGGTCGCAAAGTTATACTGCAAAGTCTGCCATTAGGTTCAGTCGCGTGATTATGAAGAATGTCGAATACTCAAATAAAGTTAACACTTCGCTATACGTATTTCTTATCATATGCTGACGTCAAGTGCCCGTAAAAATAAAGTTCGATATAAAATATCGAACGATGAGATGACCTCAGCGCACCCCGGTAGGCAACATAGGGAAAACGATAGGCAACATAATGCGGGCACATAACGAGCAAACAGTACGAAAAAGCAAACGAGAGTAACGTGACGAACCAAAACAGTGCTAAAAGACTGAGCTAACATTGATGGGCAAAACGGTGCATGGCACGAGCAAAACGTCAAAACATTGAGCAAAATACGCATGCCCATTGCCCCGTCTCTCGGCATGCGGTCACTAGGAAGCAGTCAGTGGCAACTACAGCTGCGGCGACCAGGCGCGGATACAAGGGGGGGGCCATGGGGGCCATGGCCCCCCCCTTGGCCGATTTTTTTCAAAAATAAAATAAAAAGTTAAAAAGTTAAAAAGCTGAAAAGGGGGCCTCCTGAAAATAAAGTGGCCGAAATCCGATGAGTTTTTTTTTAACCTACCCACTTAGTTATTTCTTAGAAGACTAGCTGATAAGACTTCTTTGTTAGAAAATTGGTAAAGCTTTTCATAACTTGGAGGTCTCTTATACTCACAGAGATGACCACTTTTACAGGGCCTCCTAACCTGCACAGAGGGCCTCCAAGCCTGCACAGATGTTGAGATGTTGCCTGAACAGCTAGATAAGCTCAATAGACGCAGTTTTTTTTGGGGGGGCCCAACAAGTGGGAAGATGGAGCCTCCAACAGGTGGGATTATGGGGGGGGGCCTCCTGGTTTCTAATGGCCCCTCCCTTGGAGATTTTCTGGATCCGCCCCTGGCGGCGACTCCACTGCCGCCGCTGAGCTGCGATGGCGGGCAGGCAGGTGGCCGTCCCACAGCCGGTCAGCCCGGCCAGACGTCACACGAACTCCCGAGGAACACTGGAGCAGACGGTACGACAGACACAACACGAGCAGACACTACAGCAGTCACACACACCGACACGCACTGGCATCCGTCCACTCCTGAGGTCGCTCGGCATAGAGGTGGATGGAAATGGTGCGATACGCTCTGATGTCGGACCACCGGCGGATGGAGGCTGCGGTAAAGGTTGAGTCTTGACTACAGAATTTACTATTCTGTTTCTCATTAGGAGCCCGTATCAGTAAACTGCCCCCCCCCCGGGCCCAGTCCCCAGTCCCCAGACTCAGTCCCCCACCTGTGACTCTGTGGGCCTAACAGATACATCCATCGCTCCAACTGCCACAGCCCTCCGCGTTCAATCCGTCACCGGTGAGCTGTCGAAGCTCTGGATACGACATCCACCGGCCCGGCAGCCCGGCAGAGTCTACACGGGCCACGGGGAGCCGAATGGAGCGCCTCGTTGGAATCTGCCGTCGTTTACCGGCACACCCAGAGGTGAGCGCTCTCCCAGCGCGGCGCATTTCGGCGGGGGCGCCAGAGCCGGCCGGCCATATCCGGGCCGGCCCATAGCGCAGATCGTATGGGCGCCGGCTGAGCCGCGCCGGCCGTCCCGTCCGCGCCGAATCGGCCGCCGCCGGGTGCCGACGAACCAGCTGATCACAGCCCAGGCGCGGCCGAGCCCATCATATCACGGCGCACTCAGAGGGGCTGGCCGAATGCAGCCGTGGCTGAAGCGTCACCTTCTGCTGCGACAAACCGTCGGGACGTTTTCCATGCGGACTCAATGGCAGTCGGATTTCGTCGTCCGGTCCGCTAGCGGTTGATTATGGTGGCTGCCATCTTCCGCAGCCCTGCCCGCCAGTCGGGGGCGGGACGGGGACAGTGCGACTCTCCGGTGCGAGCGCGTCCCCGGTCCGCCGCCGCTCGCTCGTTTGTCAGATGGTATCGCCGCTGTGTCAAAGTGTCGCGCGGTCAGCGGCATCACCACGACTCGGCGACGGCGGCCAGACGGGCGGGGGCGGGGAGAGGCGGCAGCCGGGCGGGGCGGGGGTGGAGGGAGAGGGAGGCGGGGCGGGGGCGGTACAGAGGGCGGCGCCGGTATCCAATTAGCCGCCCCGTGTACAGACTGGAATGGATGGAGACAGGAGAGGAGACATGGCGGGAGACACGGGAGGAGACACGGGCCGACATGGCTTCACCAGACAAAAGGACCAGTGAGAGAGTCCCATCCCACTCCACCGAAGATGCCATACTCGACATTGTCGAATGGGCGGCTCGCAGGATCGATGACGGTGACGTCGCGGCGGTAACGTCAATCGACCTGAGCAGGGCATTCGACAGTGTCGATCACTCGGTGCTTCTGAACAAGCTCGAGTGGTATGACATCTCATCCCGCTGGTTCAGCAGCTACCTCTCCGGCCGTTCCCAACTTGTCCGCTCCTCGACGGCACTCCCACTCTCCCACGGAGTCCCCCAGGGGTCCATCGTGGGTCCCATCCTCTTCCTCACCTTCATCAACGACCTAACCTGTTTCCTCCCCCATGGCCGCCTCATATCCTACGCGGACGACACCCAAATCCTGGACTCAGCACCCTCCAATCCCACTGACATCCAAGTGCTGAAGTCCCGGGCCGAGGAGAACATCCAGCACCTCCAGGGCCTCGTTTCATAAAAGGAATTACTTACGGCGTTCCGTCAATTATGCCAGATTTGGCGTATTTGATGCCAATTCGGTTTCATAAAGCCGGAGACCGGAGTAATTCACGCCATCGAAATTACGGAGCTTCATTTACGGCAAATGCTCGAATCCGGACCAATTGATGCCATTTGGGTTTCATAAAACGACGTAATTAGCGCCAAATATTTTATCAAGTTCTTGATATCAGTGGTGTAAACTACGTACAAAAATGTTGCGTGAATTTGAATTAATGTGAAGATTCGAAGCTAACTTTTAATATATTTTATCATGTTGAGCCCGGCGAGGAAGAAAGAACAGCCAAAATGAGAAAAAGAAACTGCAAATCTTCTGTACCAGTCGCTTTTTGTGGCAGCTATCGGAATTTTGTTTATTCGCCGCGCCGCGCCACTTTCGTAGTAAGGCACTTCTGCTTAGCTGGCTTTCTGCTGTTTTCAATATATTTATTTAATAAAGGATGGTCATCAATATCAATTCTGTTTTTTCATAAATAATTTTTAAGATTAAAATTCAACATAATTGTTTTATTATTTCTCGTAAAATATAAGTGTTGACACGAAATTGTAATTTGTAGGACGCTTGATAAATTACGGTAACTACGCAAATGTGCTTAGTTACGGAGGTGTAAAGTATATCTATGGGTGTAAACGATTCCAGTTGTGGCTTTGTGAAACCGCTTCATTTGCGCTCCGTAGTTTGAAAGGGTGTGAATTACGGAAAGGTGTAAGTTACGGCAGAGTTTTATGAAACGAGGCCCAGCACTGGTTCAGCTTGAATAGTTTGAAAATGAATGGGGAGAAGACCTGTTTCACCCAGGGATGCGGAGCCGGAGCCGGAGCCGGAGCCGGAGCCGCCGGAGCCGGCGTATTTTGCCCGGAGCCGGAGCCGGAGCCGGAGCCGTGAAACAATATAGCCCGGAGCCGGAGCCGGAGCCGGAGCCGTCAAAAAAGGGGGCGACTCCGGCTCCTTTTCTTAGCCCGCGAGTTGCGGGGGGGGGGGCGTTTAACGCCCCCACTTTTTTCGCCGGGCCATAGCATAAAAACGGCGCGCCGCAGGCGCGCCAAATTTTGGGTACCTGTAGGGAATTGATTGATGTTTATTGTAACAAAGTTTAAAAAAAAATCGGTCCGAAAATTTTTGAGATATCGAGGTTTTAGTGACGTCATGATTTCTGAGTTTTCGACCAAAAACAGCATATGATCAAAAAATCATATAAAATCACAGAATAGACATACAGACATGCCGTAAACGCCATTAGACTGCCAATACCATGAACAATGAAATGGCT